AAATAAAAAAAACCAATACAACACTAATTCATTCAAAACTCCACATAATCCCAAGGGGTTCACATACTTTTTCTTGCAACTGTACCTTTACGGTATGAAGAAGATAGTTTTGTGTAAATGTTATAGCTTCTGCAATCCTGTAAGGATTTTATTTGTTTTTTAAAACCATATGTAACATTTTTTCTTTCTGAATTAGTGTTGTATTGGTTTTTTTTATTTGCAGTATTGAAGAACCAGAAGACGCACGTGATCAATTCCATCTTGCTAGGCTGAACTGCAAGAAATTTGCTTTTGTCCATGTAGCTTTTGCACAATTTGAACTCTCACAAGGTTTGTTGGAACAGGTTTATAGTTAAATGGAGATTTGCTGCTATTTAGCCTATTTTAGCCATGTAGAGAGATTCAACTGTGCAGTTACAGTCAATATTTTTTCTTCTAAGGACAGTTATTTGGTTAGGTAGGAGATCACATTGATTACAGAATGATTAAATGGTGTTTTTTTTTCTTTTTAAAGTTTCCAACGAATTTTACACCAAAGCAGACAAAATTAGAATAGACCATGCCTTTACTTTAACATCATACTGTCCTGTCCTTACTCTGTATTTTTTCACTTCACTACTTCTCCAATGCATTGAAAGTTCAACTGATCAAAAGGAAACTGTTTTTAATTGTGGCATAAAAATATTTTTGCTGTGCAGCGCTTGGATAGCTGAAAATTGAAATAGTGAATAGAAATAAAGTAAGGTGGCATTTCTATGATAATAATGATTGTTTAATAAATAAATCTAAAATGTTTAAATACTTTAAATATTTCTATAAAATATGAAATAATGTATTTAATATAATTCTTTAAATTGCATTTATTTCATTGCAGGATGTATATCTCATTTCTATTTTATATAATTCAAAATGGTATACATAATCCTCCCATCTCCTGTTTTATCCATCAGAGCAATCCAATTAGGCGGGTTGAATTAAGAGGATAACTGGCCCAAAGGTGGCTCTCTGCTCAGATTCCTGCTTCCCCAGACAACCCAGTTGTTGGTTTCTGCTCCTGGCCTGGGAGATGGATCTGACCAGGAGGAATTCAAGCCCCATTTTTGCAATTGGGGAAGAAAAAAAGCATTTCAGGCACTGGGTGATCCCTGCAGCCTGGAACCGCCTGCCGCCTGAAATGCTCTTTTTCCTCCCCGATTGCAAAAATGGAGCTTGCATTCCTCCTGGCCAGATCCATATCCCGGGCCATGAGCAGAAGCTGACCACCCTCTAACTGGGTTGTCTGGATAAGGGGAAGACTGAGCAGTGAGCCACCTTGCCAAACACCTCTCACACAGCTCCCGCTTCACCTGTCCCTTCTCAGATGGTTCCAGGCAGCCAAAATCACAGTGTTGCCACCTGAAAACGCTGCTTTTACACCCTGCCACATGGAACCGCCTGAGAAGAGGCTGCTGAAGCGGGCCCTGAAATCCCCCCAACTCCCCAGATCTGTCATGCAGTTCTTATTACTACTACTGCTATTGCGCCCAGCTACAAGTGCCAGGCTTCAGTGAGACACATGTTCTGGCGCTCCCACATTCTGAAGTTTTCTTTCCATCCTGCGTTTCTTTCACTAGCCAAAATCCCAATGATGGCAATAGCTTTTTCTGGTTACAAAGTGGAGATCTAGGGTCCTGAGAAAAGCCTTCATGCAGAGGAGATTGGTCCTCTTCCCTTGCTGCACCTCCCCACCCCAATCCTCCCCGATCTGTCATGCAGCAAAGAGATACAGTATATGAGCTCAATAGCAGCAATAGCAATAAGCACTGCACGACAGGTCCGGAGGGATTGGGGTGGGCGGGTGGAGCAAGGGAAGGGGACCAATCTCCTCTGCACGAAGGCTTTTCTCAGGACCCTAGATGTCTACTTTGTCTCTGGAAAAAGCTATTGCCATCGTTGGGATTTTGGCTAGTGAAAGAAGCACGGGATGGAAAGAAAACTTCAGAATGTGCGGAATGCTCCTGTATACGGTAATTATCGTAGATGGGACCAGCAACTTTGTTGCTAAGTGATGCGATCATTACGCAAAATGTCATGTGACCACTCTGTTTAGCGACAGAAATTCTGGCAATCCCAGTTGCTGTCGTTGAGTGAATCTCATGTGGTTGTTAGGTGAGGACCCACCTGGATCCAATCCATTCTTGGAAGAAGATAAGGGGCTTCCTCCACTTCATCTCTCCCCCCCCTCTCCACCTAACCCTTTCTGCTGATTCCCACTGCTGCTCAACTCTTCCTACAGTGCCCACCATATTGAGTGCCATCACTGTACTGATCAACATTTTCTATGCCTTATTCTTTTGTGCCAGTGCAGGGAAGACCTTCTCTTGGATGCTAACCTTATCCCCCATTAGCGAAAGAAATCCCTAGCCAAAGTGCAAGAGAAGCCCCAACCGTTGTGCAAGAGGAAGGCCTTAACTGCACTGGCACAAAAAGAATGCTCCCAGTCTGCACAATGGTGGAAATCAGTGAGGTGACATGATAGTGGCAGGCAAGGCCAGATTGTGGGGGCAGCCAACGGCGGCAAGTAGAAGGGCAGCCAAAAGGGTAGTCCAGAATTTTGGTCTGTTGACACCCAGGGTTCTATAATGGCTGGAACTTAAATGACCAGTCATAAGTCCCTTCATTAGCACCATTATATCTTAGAAAGATAGCTGAACAAATGAACATTAAGCAAAAACTATGTTTACTTAACTCAGTCTATAATAAATATCAAATCAGATTTGATGTTTATATTTTACATTGTTTTCCCTTAGCTTGATAATGTCAAATTTTAAATAGAGGAAATGCATTGATCATTGATTTGTTTTAAATATCAGTGTGACATTTAAAACATTCTCAAGTAAATTTAATTTATTTGACTAATTATGTCTCAAGTAAATTTAATTTATTTGCCTAATTATGGATTGTTTCTTTTGATAAAAGCTATTATACTAATTCTGTATAAAAGCTTCTCTATGATACTTTACTTTTGAAATTAATGTTTTATGATAAATAAACAGAAAAGCTAGATGTGCTGTAAAGGAAAAGTTTGGAAGAATGCTTTGAGAAATAATATTTTTGAAAATAATTGCAACAAGAAGTAGTTCTTTGTTAAATTGCACTTGGGAGCCAGACGGGATTGGTTCTGATTAGATGAAGATTTCTAGGGAAGTCTGTTGCTTTAGGTTAGATTGGGAAATCAAAGGGCATCTTGGAAGATGATTTGGTGCGGTTGCGAAGAAACTTGCATTGGGATATCCACATAATTGCATAATAGGAACTCAATGCAGGACATTTTTTTCTTATTATTTTCAAAAATATATCATTCTTTTTTCTTGGAAAAATAAAAGGATTGTTATCTTTTACTAGGAAATATCAAGAAAGCAAAACAGTTGCTCGAAAAAGGTGTAGAATCAAGAGCAGTTCCAGCAGAAATGTTAGAAATTGCTCTACGAAACTTATACTTACAAAAAACGCAACTACTTTCTGTTGAAGAAAAAGAAAATTTGTCAGGTGAGCCATAAACTGTTGATCATTTGAATTTTAATTAAAAGAATTGTAACTTGGGTAAGTAACCTCATTCTGTTCTAAGCTAATCTTGTAGACTTTAGAATTTTCATATAAACTTAAAGTTTGACATTCACTTCACTGGAAAATTAAATACTTAATATATATATAGCTATTTAGAAAATAACTTTAATTTTTGAACAAAAAATGGCTCACATTTTTAATGTATTCATTCAAATGTATCAATCATAATTCCTGTCAGGGTAATAAAGATTTAATAGCTGACCAGCTGCTGTACTTCTGTAATGCTGTAATGATGATGCAATGGTAGTAATGAATCAGCAGGGTTATTTGACTTACCACTTTAAGAGTCTGTATTATAAGAGAGGCCCTGTTGGGGCATATCTCTCTTTCCATGTGTGTTTCCGTGCTATAGTTGATGTTTGATTGCCTGACTTTGTCTAGTATGTGTATGTATATATTCCTTGTAGATAAACCACTATTTAAAAGACAAACCTCTGTTTACTGTATTTGGCTCCTGAGTTGTCTCAAAATAGTCAGAGTGTAAACACTCTGACAATTCCAACTTTCATTTTATTGCCTACAATGCTTGTGACCTGGTTAACTCTAATTAAATTGGATGTTTAGTACACACAAACCTATCAATTATAGATAGAGGGAATTTTACTTTAAAATCTATACAGGTAATTCTTGGTTTATGTCTGTTCATTAAGTAAGTTAGGATAGCAATATTCCAATGCCTGGAGGTATCATTTAAATTTGATGTACAATTTGGGAATCTCACTGGACTGTCAGCTCCTGCTTGATGAGCAGGTAGAAACTGTAGCCAAGAAGATCTTTGCACAAAGAGCACCGGCGGGGCCCCCACCTACAACATCATGGCCACCATGACCAACAAGACAATCGTGCTTGTCATGGGCAAGGAGGGCATCCATGGTGGCTGCATCAACAAGAAATGTTACAAGATGGTCAACCACTTGCGTCGGTCGCAGTATTAACCCGCCTGCTGGTCCGATCTGTGGTACTACAGATGGAATAGTGTGAGGATGTCAAGATGGCAGTGACTACCTGGGGCGCCCAGGCTTGCCACTGCGGGACCAACCCTGGCACACAATGGCTGCTTATTCCAACTTTTCCTGCTCATGGCCTCTCCCTCCTCCCCTTCTCCTGTTTTTTTTCTAATGCCCCCACTCTGCCCCAGACCCCCCCTCTTGCCCTCCAATTCTTTTTTGCCATTTTTTTCGGTTCACCGACAAAAGGGCGAATGACAAAACCGCGCCTGACTAAACCGCAGTGACAAAACCGCGTGTTCTAAAGCGCTCCGACGAATGAGCGCTGAATCACGCCGACAACAGTGCGGCGACAAGCGCGCTGTAAAACTAACCCTAACCCTAAACATAACGCTAAACCTAATCCTAAACATAACGCTAAACCTAACCCTAAACGTAATGCTAAACCTAACCCTAAACCTAATCCTAAATGTAACGCTAAACCTAACCCTAAACGTAATGCTAAACCTAACCCTAAACCTAATCCTAAATGTAACGCTAAACCTAACCCTAAACGTAATGCTAAACCTAACCCTAAACCTAATCCTAAATGTAACGCTAAAC